TTTGGATATTAGAGTCAGTGACTCGAGAGCGCGTACTCGATTTCGTTTGTGTGATTGTACTGGATCCTGAGGCTTCTTTTGCTTTTTGGCGTTCTTCGCGTAGTCGCCTTTTAGCAACAGCCTTGACGACGCGTTTCGCCATATCGGCAAGTTCAGGGACGCGTCGGAGGTACGACAGTGTAAAGCCTGTCATTATCGGAGGATTCTTAATGAATGAAGACCGAGTCTGCGGTTGTTGGTCATATGAGAGAGGTGGAATATAAGGCCGCGGCGTATTATTCGATATTGGTGGTTTCGATTTCGGGCGGGGTGTTGCATCAGAAAGGGGCAAACGAGAGGAGGGTTTTGTTGGGGACGGAGGAAAGCCATTAGTGATCGAGCTGGTATCTGACTCGTCGTCGGAGTCGACAATGCTTTGAGCGTAGCACATGAGGTCCATGTAATGTTTAACATAAATGCGGAAGGTGTTGCTATTGAGATCTCTGGAATGCAAGCGGGATGGATGGCGGAGTTTCTGAGGAGACTGGTCCAAGCAATGGGTATCATATAGATCATGACAGACTGAGCCCTTACCTGTTCACCGATTGACATAGCAGGACTTGACATTTGAGTTGAAGAAGGCGTCATGTCGTGGTGTGTGCTTGGTGTAGATTGAGCCGTAGAAGGGCCAATGTTAAGGACCCGGCTGGGTATGAGCGTTGGTTCCTCTCTCGTAGAAGCTTTGGGTCGCATAGGAGTGGATAGCTTGACTGGCGTTGACGGGGCTAATAAAGTCGTAGAAACGGTTGACTTGACCGGGGAAGCAAGTCTTGGGATTTGGAAAGGGGTCGACAGAGAATAATGGTCGCGGTGAAGCCTGCGGACGTTCGACCAATGTTGAAGCTCGTCATTCAAGGACGAACATTTTTCTAATGAATTAAAGAGCGAAATTTGAACCAGAAAACATTATCGTACCTACGTTGTCCGCAATGATTTCTCTTGTTTCGTATTTTTGGACAACCCTTCCAATGATTATAACGGAGTTACCAACGCGAGCAACTGGTATTGGTTCGGGAGCCAAGACCCTGGATTTGGCATTGGCAGTAGATGTCTTCTTACCTTGCGCACTTTTAGTTGGACTTCGAGGAGGGAGTGGAGCCTTATAAAGACAATCTATAACGCCTGTACCGTCATCCACTGAACCATGTTGATCAGTACATAGAGTGAAAAACGGTAGTGTGTAGACAACCTGTATAACGGATACGTCTCTCATAGATCTGAATACCGACACACAGTCCTGCAATTTTTACAGTCCTGCATGGCACACGCTTTAGCCAGTAAAAATTAGCTTCTGCAGTGGGTACGTATTAGTGCTACCTATCGAATCGGTGATCAAGAGCTCGCCTTTGGTAGAGTTCTCTTTCATCGTGAACGCATCCTCGATAAAACATGGAGCTATAGCTTCACGAGTGAGGGTCCACTGCCAGATTTCATTCGTCGTCGATTTCCCTGTATTTTCAACCTTGCGTCGCTTTGGGGAAGACAGAGAGGGTACACGCTGAGCTTGAGGATTAATCTGCACAGTAGCATTCATTGGGCAGATCCTTGGGTTGTCATAAGCAAAGAGACCCTTCCCCTGAACCCATGGATTTGAACAAGACAAGCCCTGTCACGCATGAGTCACAAGTCAGACCATCACACGTGATACCGTGACAAGTCGCGTTTACAGTGCGTGACTTGACTACTCTTGACGGAACCGCCGATTTTCCAACAACACCAATGTCCTGAAACCTGTCGTTCTTGCCCCAGATCGTGTGTTATTTAGAACCTGGAACTAGAAAAGGCAACGTGGAACTAACATTGAATATTGAGCCCTTAAAGACCGATGTTCCCAGAAGATCCAGGTTGCGATTTGGATAAGTGAATAGCGAGGTGTGGATGGCCTCAAACTGTTATTGGGCAAGTGAAAGACTCAGGTATAGATCCTTCAATACAATAAGAGTCGCATTCTGCTAATAATCCTCGTGGTTAGTTCATGTTCTGCCTCATGGCGCCATCTGCGAAAGTCCTGAGTCGGAAGTCCTGGCCTTCAAGTTTGGCATCTCAACTTATTCATTAACCTAACTTTTTCTTGTCGACGTAGAACATGAAAGACCTCTTTCAGCCTGTCCTCTGGACATCATTTCAAATAAACCGAGGAGGCTTTCTCGCGATTTGTGCCTCGTGGCTCATCAACGTCTCGATATCGATTGTACTGTTCTTGCTGACACAGATGGTTAAAACGAGAAATGGCAAAACGAAAGGGCCCCGAATCCATGCGTAAGTGTTTGATAATCCAGCCTGAATTCAGCTAAGAGAATGCTTTGAAGAATATGTGAATGACGTGCACCCGCAGGGTTGCAGAAATGAAGCATCGTGCAATCTCGGCGTCGAAATATTTGACACTTGCTAATCAATTCGGCGCTTTCGTTATATTACTCCACTACGTATAACATACGTGATACTTGTCTTCTTACTCAACTGACAACCGGTCTGATCGTTGGAGCTGGTAGAAGAGACGGCTTCAGATACTTAATCCAGAACCTTAGATCCCAGACTTTGACATAGAAATTGCCTTGGCATGTCGGCAAACGGTTTCTTATGCGATACTATCGTTGCAATAGTGGGCGAGTTGCGGCTTTTTGCATGTTTCGAAGACCAATGGCCGATGGACGGAAATATACAGCAGCCGTTTCATTTCTAAGTATCGCTATATGCGATATTGCGCTGGCTCAGGACCCTCTGCTTTTGATCGTAATCCTTGACCTCTCCAAGGGTTCTTCGTGCGCTAGACGCTAGGCGACGCGCGAATAGAACTCTTGTTCTGATGTTTCTTTCATTGAGCCATGCCATTAGTGGCATTGTGGCATAATGAAATAGACGCCCCCCCATTTTTTTTCTAAGGTTTATCCGTGACCAAGGAATCCTGCAATTCAGAATCCTGAGGATTGTTGAAGTTGCCGAAGTAATCCAACCCGTTACGATCCAGATTCTTCGTTCGAAGGAAGTTAAAACGCCGAGCGCGAACTCAATGACGCTAGTTCCGAGAATGTCTTGCACGATTACATGGATATGCGAAGGAGTGCCCCAAATAGGATATGTTCTCTGAATAGATGAGCCGATCCTTTAGTGGCGGATTTTAGGTGATTAACAACAACTGTGTCCATGTCTCCTGGCAGCAACACGATATTAAGAGGTTCGCAACAAGTTGGCAACAAGCGTACGCAACTCGTGTTAATTAGAAGAGGATTTGACTGGCAGCCACAGGTTACGCTCTTACGAGTGAGCACCACAGTGCTGACCCAGTATGGTTGGCCTGGGAGACAGATTCCCAGAAGGAACCATTTTCAGAAGATCGATGAGGCTTGAAGGCTTGAAAGAACATCCTGATCACTCCAATCGATGCAACTTTAGCCTCGATTGCGAGAAGAACCCTCGATGGATTCTGCCAGGTTCCACGAGCCAAAAGTCAAAACTTAGAGTGCATATTGGATGAGTCGCGATTTCATTGAGAACCAAGATGACTGATATCTTCATACGCTTGCATAAGACGAGCATTGACAATCACAGAGGTGGAGAGTTTTAATGACTCTAGACTGCGGCCTGGTTCTATCAGGATGGTGAACAGTTTTGATGGACAGATTCACAAGCAAGTCAGGAAGTACATATGGTCCAAAACTTTATTTTCAATGAACGACATCGCTGTCCAGAATAAGAAACTTGAAGAGACTCGATCATGTGATAGGATGGATGTCGAAGACAACAGTCAGTTAACCTGGATCTCAAAAGCGCAGTGTTAATATATGTCTAGTATGCCACAAAACAGAAAAGAAATATTGCAATGTTCGATTCAGCATGTCGAAGAAACAGTAGACAGACGACACAGGTTTGACAAGGACGTCATGAATAAGTGCCTGAGGTCAGAATAGGTCATAAACTTGAAGCCCGTCAATAACATCACAGAGTCTAGAAGAGGGTCGATGGGATCGATATGCATGTGTGGATGAAGTCTCTTCGGATGGACACACATTTAATCAAGCCTTAGGCGGGTTCTCGAGAATTGCCCCAGGTATGAGATCGTCGGGTTCAATGAGACGTGGGAGAGAGTGAGAAGAGAGGAAAGTGAATCTAAATGTCCACGCACAGGAGAAGGGAGGGGGGAATGGAAATATACTAGTATCCGTGTCGCCGAAGCCCGATCGCTGCTCAGCGACGTCCACCCAGTCAGTACTTATCAATTCACTGGGCCCGATAATCGAGGATAAAAAATTTAGAGTGGGTTAAGAGGAGGATTTCAATCCTGCTTTCAAGACCATGATGATCGTCATCATCGGCGATAAAGAGTGCCAGTACCAGTTTACTCCATACCAGTCCATACTCGATGTCGAGTTGCTTACATCCGGTGGCTGGCAGGATGGATTTGAAAGCCAAGTATTGGTCCACGTCAACTCCAACATTGTACGACAGAGATATCATTTCGTATACTTAGAATAGGCATCCGCCTTGACGGAGAAACGTGGGATGTACAGCTTGCAGGAAAACATACCAGAAAGCAAAACTGCGGGGGAACAAGAATGCGGAGACCAAAGAAAAGTTAACCGAGAAGTACCAAAGCACCATCCTCTGCCCATCCTATGGATTGAACAGGTGACCAAAAAAAAAACGAGTTGGGGAAGCAGTTTGCGCCATCTGCGTTGGCAGGATCCATCCGACTCTAAAAGCTCGAGACAAATTTGACTCCGACTCTCCAAGATGGGGAGTCTCTCTGGCCTCTTTTTGAGGTCAGCCCCCACGTCACCCGAGTTCTCCAACGGTAATAATCAATCTAGGAAGCGGATGCAAGCGTACAAGACAGCCGCAGCAGCTAATAAGGTATTGTTCGTGGAGTGCATGATGGATCGATGTCAACAGAGCTTGAATGATTCGAGTTTGACCAAAAGCTGTATAACCGCATATGATACCAATGCCCAATCACCGCACATGGGTCGATGGCGTAGTTGGTTATCGCATCTGTCTAACACTTATGTGCACAGAAGGTCCTCAGTTCGAACCTGGGTCGACTCAATAGGATTGTTACGTTCAGATTTTTTATGCGCCGACGTCGACTGAACATATCGATGATATCCAAACCAAAGCTGTGATATAAGTATGCCCCTGTCCGTAAGCCCAGAGGCCTGAGGCCTGACACTCCTGCCCTCGGATTGCATATCAATACCTACACACAGGCGTAGCTTAAATGCAATCAGTATCATCTTCTATCCAATGTGGCAAAAACTCCAAAGCCTGGCAAAGCTTCCAAAGATGGCACGAACAAATCAAATCAAATCAAATCCTGGCGAGATCTCCAATCCACAATCATACTTCTGCACCCGGGATACAATGGAGAATGCACGTTTCTGATACAAAGTTATTTAGGGATTAAATGTTTGAGAAAGCCTGAATAGTTCTTCCAGATTGCAAGCGACGCAGTCCACCGGTGAGTACAGGCCGACGGCGTGGGGCGCGAATGGAAACAGTGATCGGTCATCATTGATCAATCCACGATGATCGCTTCCCTCACCAACTGTGGCGCGTCGAGAATGCTGACTTATCTCTATGTTTTTTAAAGAGAGAGAGGATCCATCATTATCCACGAATATATCCTCCGTGTTAGTATCAACGAATGAGGGAAGGGAAAGAGTGAGTGTTCGATACAGTTCTGAGTATGTATAGTGTCACGGTAATATACCAAGTAAGGGGAAGAGAGAGAGAGAGAGAGAGATAACAAGAGATTTCATGATAGCGATACAAACGAGCGTGGGGTTCATTGAACATTGAACGAAATGAGTGTGTGATTTGAGATGGTACAGATGAGTGAAAGAAAGGAAAAAAAGTCTGTAGAGGGAAGGTGTAGGATGGATACAGTTCAAAGCCCAGCGCGTGCTGGCGCTGGGTCCGATGATGATGATGTGGTGCGGTGCGGTGCGGTGTGGGGTGTGGTGCGTTACGTTATATCGTTTGGTGTCGAGTGTCGGTTGTCGATGTCGATGTCAATGTCGGGCGTGGATGTGGATGCAAGTACGGGCCAGGGTAAACAGGAGAGGACGTGTCGGCTAGTGAAGGGAGGGAGGGGACGAGGAGATGGGGGGGGCGAGCGTGACGGAGAGGGAGAGGAAGAAGAGGCAAGAAAGAAATAGATGTAGTAATGTAAGTATGTAATGCAAAAGCAAAGCGAGCAGAGCAAGACGACGGCGAGGGGAGGGGAGGCGACCGAGCCAGCCAGCCAGCCCACTCGGAACGAAGGGATATGCGGTGCGATGGAATGAGGGGTTGGGGTTGGGGGGGGGGGGGCATTTAAGAAAGATAAATATGATATTCGGTTGTGTAGATGCGGAGCACGGTATGTAGGGTTTATGTGGTGGTATGGGTGGATGCGAAAATGTAATGTAATGTGTGATGTGAATATGCGATGGTGAGTGAGATGCGGGGTGTTGTTGTTGTTGTTGTTGTTGTTGTTGGTTATGATGCGAATGCTGAATGGGGTGAGGTGAGAGGGTGACCTCTCTTTTTTGAATTCTTCTTTCTTCCACGGCTCTACAAAAAAAAAGAGAGATAGATTGAGCGTCGAACCCAAACAATCAAATAAAGAAAGCAAGCTTACAACTTCTTAAGGACCAGCACACACACCCTCACTCGTCCCTTCCCCAACACCCATATACGCCAACTCACTCTCCCCCTCAAGCTCAACCTCACCATCATGATCATGATGATCACCACCAACCACCCTCCCTCTCCCATCCAACCCCCTCATCCCTCTCGCAATGAGATACTCCGGGTCATCTTCCAACCTCGAAGACGCCGCAGGCCCAGGCCCAGGCGCCAACATGTTCATGTTCCAATTCGGAGGAGGAGATCCAAACCACACTGTAACATCATCTTTAGGCGGCACAGGAGGAGGACCTTTAGGACTCGGAGGAATGATAACATCCACCGGTTCCGATCGTCCCGAAAGGAAAACAGTAACTCTAGAACCCGCCGC